TATATAATATATTATATATAATATTTATATATTCATTTTACTCTTATTTTAAACACTGTTGCATTAATTAAAATATATTGTTAAGCTTGAAATTTTATTGCAGTTATTCTAAATTTATATAAGCAACATTGCATTTAATTTTTGATTTTTTTCAGCGGAACATCCTTTGAGAAACAAAGTAAATGGTAACAGCTTACACGCGACAAATCTCGTTCATCAAATCAAGATTTTGCTAAGGAGAGGCTTTATCATGTGTAAACGAGATACGGTAAGAATTGTTTGCTTATCTATTGTGTTTTAATATACATGTCAATGATGATTTTAATCAGCGATTCTCTTTGAAAGTTCCAAAAATTATTTGAAATCCTTCTTTTTAAGATTATGCGGAGTATTTTTCTACAATTATTGTATTGATTAAATTGAATAAAATGAATAAAATCTTAAAAATATTAAGAACTAATATTTTAAGAATTCAGAGAATATGTAAGTCGTACAAAAAATCCAAGCGTTTTCGATCTGACGTAAAAAATGCTTGCACTACGATCACACGAATTTTATTTAACAATATATCGTGCACATATATTGTAGACTCTGACACATTTACGTATCGCTGTTAACATACTCGTTGGTGTAATGCTGGGTTCTGTTTTTCTGCGATCCGGCGCTGATGGATCCCGCGTTTTGGACAATTATAATCTTCTATTTGCTATCCTCATACACCACATGATGACGACGATGATGCTCACAGTAGTTACCTGTAAGTATCCGTGTATTTTCCGTAAATGATTTGCGATGACTAACTTTCGCAAATGTGAATTTGTAATAGAAAGCATCTTATCTTTGATTCGCAGTCCCAATGCAAATGTCTATCCTCCTAAAAGAGCATTTCAACAGATGGTACAGTCTAAAGGCGTTTTACACAGCGATAACGTTGATTGACATGCCCATTTCGATAATATGCTGTATACTTTTCTCGATAATCGTCTACTTTATGTCAGCGCAACCATGGGAAATTATTCGATTTTCTATGTTCGTGGCCATTAGTCTATTAATCATGTTTATAGGACAAGGTACCGGGCTTATGATAGGCGCTGTATTTAATGTCGTGGTAAGAAATCAAGTATTAATTAGAACTGTTGCTGATAATCAGTGATATTATTCATAGACCGTAATGTTTGTTATTTAATTATCTTTGTTATTTAATTGTATATATAGTTAGTATCTCTTATCAATGTTTGATCCTCTTATTAATTTATTATCAATTTCTTTTAATTTTGATATTATCAAATGTGTCATTAATTTGTTTTTTATTATTATTGATATGTTATATAGATTTATTGCAAATATCAATAATTTATCTTATAGATAAGAATGTGCTGCACTTATTGCAAAATGTTTCATAAAAATGTTTAATTTTTGAAGTAAAATTAATGAAAGAAACATTTTAACTTGCAGAATGGCACATTTATGGGGCCAACATTAGCATGTCCACTAATGATGTTCGCTGGATTCGGAGTATCATTACGTGATCTACCAAGCTATCTTAAGTGGGGTAGCTATATCAGTTATTTGCGTTATGGTCTAGAGGGGTAAGAATTATTTTGTAAATTTTGTATTATTACTTAGTAGCAATATACACATATTTATCACGTGTATTTTCAATAGTATATATATATATA